AAAAAAGGCATCTTTCCTATGGATTCTTTGCTATTCTCTCCCTGACATGGGGCTGGTGCGGGGAGGCCAGGGAAGGGTTACATTGACTCTCAGTTCCTCCTCTGAGATTCCAGTCAGGTGACACTCAGTGGAGACTTCTTCCCTTCTGGGACAGGGAAGTTTGTCCAGGGAGGGAGGGGGTCCAGTGTGTACATGTGCGTGTGTACATGTGCGTGTGTGTGGGGGTAGTGCATTGAGCAGTGGTTCAGGCTTTGGGAGGAAGCTTTGCAAATCTGTAAGCTTAATATTTTGAATGGATGATGCATTCATGTGCTCCATGGCACACATCTGGCATCCCAGCTACACAGGAGGCTGAGGTAGGAGGATTGCTTGAGCCCAGGGATTCTAGGCCAGCCTGGATGGCATAGCAAGAAAGACTTGGCCTTTTAAGAGAAAGAAATCTAAAAGTTGAAGTGAAGCCACAACCCCCACAAATCATTCTCCCTCCCCACATGCCTGTCCTTTATCCTTCCTGGCAGATGTGGTGTCACTGTTGGGCATGAGTCCTTGAGCTTCAAGACTGTTGGGCCTGCAGCTGTTTCGAGGGTGGATTCTGGTGTGTTGGGGGGGGGTGCATTCCTGGGCAGCAGGTGCCTGAGGCCAAGGCTCCCCTCCTCTTCCCACTGAGGCTGGTCCCAGAGCCACCTCCAGAGCCTCTGGCTTCAGTCCCCACTGCTCTCTGCAGGGGGCCTGTGAGTCAGGGTCAGTAAGTCCCTGCTGCTATTCTGGTTGCTGGTGAAAGTGAAAGTCCAGTTCCCGAGGCCACCGAAAGTTTGGAGCCACTGTGTGCTGACCCGTCCCTCAGTCCCTGAGCCTCGCCCATGGGCAGGAATTTTGGTGCCTCGGAATTTCCTGTTTGACGCTGTGCCCTAACCGATCCACCTCCTCCACCCAAGCTCTCTCACTGGATTATTCTTTTTCACAGAGACTGGGCTGAGTGTGTTTTGCAGGGATCTTTTTAACCACCATTCCTGCCCTTCCCCTTCCTACCGGCTCCGATTCCTAGGAGAAAGACTCCTTGCTACCTTTTAAGAAAGCAAACATTTAGTCATTTATCCCTCTCTTCCTCCCTCTCTCTTTCTCTCTTTCCTTCCCTCCTTCCTTCTCTCTCTCTCTCTCCTTTCCTTCCCTCCTTCCTTCTCTCTCTCTCTCTCCTTTCCTTCCCTCCCTTCCTTCCACTTCCCTTCCTCCCTAACCTGCACGAGTGGCCCCATCCATTGGGTGCTCGAGAGAAGTAGGGATGACTCACTCTTCCTGGGGAGGGCACTGGAAGGGAGGGGTGGCTGTGTCCACTGTCAGCAACAGGGACAGATACAAGAAAGGCCTTCCACCCAGGACTCTGAGCAATGGTGAGATGAAGGAGACCAGCCTGGGGGATTTGGGGACGAACTCCAGCAAGGAAGAGTTGGGCAAGTCCCAAAAAGTAACAAAGGATTTGGGGACACAGTCGGGTGCAGCCTTGGTGTCACAGCTCACAGCCTTCCTGGAAGTCCTACCACTTGTTCCTGCTTTACAGCCCAGGATGCTGGAGCTAACAGGAAAGAGTTGCTAGAGGTGGCTCAGTCACTGGGGCCAGCATGGTTCCCCGACAGTGGCTGGGACATGAGTTGGGGTCCCCTGCCCCAGCAGGGCTCCTTTTCTGGCTGTGCCTTCACCAAGCCTGACACTTGAGAACCACAAGGTCAAAGCCCAGCATTGGTGTTGACCCCAAGCAGGACCATGTTGAGGTCTGGACCATGAAGGAAGGAGGACATGACTTTGGTGGCCTCAGAGAGGAAATCAGGGACCGGGACATGGAGTGTTTTCTCTGGAGGAGTAAAGGAGGAAAGAGCAGGAGAGGCACAGGTCTACTGCCCCGGTATCAACTCCAGAAGAGTCTTGTGGGGTGGGGTCTCTGTAGCCAGGGACCAGCCAGGCAGCCAAAGTCCCCCAAGTGGCTGCCCTCTGACTGGGATGGGCAACCCTTCCCCCCACCCTGGCTTTAACAACTCCACTCAGAATATTCTGGAATTACTGAACGGCTGCTGGGTGCTGGGCCTCCCTCTTTAGCTTAGCACCCCCACCCCATCTCCATCTGCCTCTGCACAGCCGCCTGAGGTTCAGACACAGCACCCTCAGACCATCGCAATTTTGTTTTTAGTGATTTGTAGCATTCAAAGGGGAAACGTGTGACTTTTGGGTTACAGTGGCTCTCATGATGCGTTCCCCAAAGACTCATGCGCTGAAGGCTTGATCCCTAACACAGCCTGTTCAGAGCTGGGGCCTGCAGAGGTGACTGGATCGGGTAATCCACTGATGAGTTCCCGCTGGCTGTGCTGTCGGCAGGGCAGCCCAGGGGAGGAAGGAGTTTGCTGAGGGCATGACCCGGAAGGATACATTTTAGTCCCTGTGTCTTTCCCTCTCTCTGCTTCTCAGCTGCCCTGAGGTGAGCAGCTTTCTTCCACCACCGAGTTTTTGCCTTGGACCATGGAGGGAATCCTCTGAAACTATGAGCCAAAATAACCTTTTTCTCCTTTAAGTTCTGCATGTTGGTATTTTGTCCCAGCAACAGACATTCTCCATTTAACGACTGAGTCCAGTTCCTGCTACTAGGCTGTTAAACGACCTGGTCTCTAAATGAGGAATTGTATATAGTATGTACATAGTATGAACAAAGAAATGGTCAAAAGAAAGTCCAACTTGATGACTTTGCTTTTATTTGCATAACTCTTACATGCAGTACTGCGATGTATAACAGAACATAAAACTATAGTATTGTACTATACAATCAGCAAGAATTATGGTACTGTATAAACAAGGTGTACCGCACACACACACAGAAGACATTGAGGCTCTCTGTACAAAAAAAAGATGGATTGTTAAATCCGAACAGTGCACTTCTCTCCTAAGTCTGAAAATTTGTTAAACAGGTAGGTTGGTAAAGGAGGAACATCCGTAATATATTGGCCTTGGGTCCGAGGGACCACCTGTGTTCCTTGGCTGTGGAACGTTTTGAAACTGGAGTGAGGGGGCACCTGCTCTAGAGTCTCAGGCTGGTGATGCTGTGGCTCTGTCAGACCCCAGAGTCCCCCAGGCTGCCACTTACATTCGGGAAGAACCACCCCAGCACATCATGCTGCTCCTCATAGGTGCACCTCGGAGCAAGTCTGAGATCCAGCCTGGCTGTCAGTGGCCTCCGTGTGTCAGCCCCACACTCTTCTCGCATACGCCTTCCCCTCTATGATCTGGAGTCCAGCCTCCCAGCCCCAGGGCCCCTACTGACTGGTGGGACTCCTCCTCCTGCTTGGCCCCCATCTGGCTCCCGGATCTCTTTGCCACGTGTCCCTCACACACTGACTTTCAGCAGCTCCCCAACATGGTAG